GGGGGGGCTATGAATAGCCCCCCCCCCCCCCCCCAGTAGGCCGTGTTATACGCAGACCCCAGTGGGGCGCGGGTTAACTGACCAAGCCTAAAAAGGTTGCAATCATGTCCAACCTGCAGTGTTTGTCAGAGAGGTTTTAAGCCTGGTGGATTGCATGATTTTATGGGCACCTATAATTTGTATATCTCGGATTTTTTATATCTGTGACCTAAGGTGAGGCCAGTGGCGTGACCTTTATATTATAACCCTCGCCCATGTAGGGGGGGGGGGGTTGGTGCAACCCCCCCCCTGAGGTTTTTCGGAAATAGTGCAAAAACGGCGGCGCGCAGCGCCGCCAAATTTTGGGTACCTTATGGGGCAAACCTTGCGCATCTTTTGGTAAAAAAAATTTGACCGGGTCATGTCAGGTCACGGAGTTATGACGTCACAAAGGGAACAGCCTCCGGCCGGATTTTCACAAACTGAGTGCCAACGCCCGAGGTTTCCTGCCGGTGGTACGGACATCGGTTGATGGATCGTGATGAAACTTCCCAAGCATGTTGGGGCAAGTATTGGCTATCATATGGTATAAGAAACTTGACCGGGTCAGGTCAGGTCACGGAGCTATGACGTCACAAGAGGAACAGCGTCCGGTACTATTTTTGAAAAGCGCCCGAACCACTATTTTGCTAATTCTTGTCACCTCAATGGGAATATGCAGCAATATTAGCTTCTATAGGGAGCAAATGGACCTTCCAAATCCAAAAATACAATCAGATTTCAAAAATTTAAATTTTGATTTTTCGAATTTCTGCCGCCGACTGTGACCTTGCCGACTTCCGGCGCTCCCAACGCGCCATTTTTAGAGCTAGGGAAACGAAATACATACCAAACGATAGAGAATTGATCAAGGAACACGATAGTGAAGGTTTCAAGTCGATATCTCCCACCGTTTTGCCGCAATCGCCGCGGAAAGTTGAAACAAGTCTATTTTTCCGAAAATTTGACCTTTGACCGGTCAAAAGTAGGTCAAATGTTGACCTAGGACCAAAAAATATACCACCAATCGCGAGATCTCGGCGAGAGCAATCCGTTGGTCTTTTCCGCTAAGCTCTACGACGCTCCGTTTTCAAACGCCAAGGGGGGGGGGTCGCACCAACCCCCCCCCTGCATGGGCGAAGGTGGCAGATCGCCGTTTACGGGCGAGGGATAAGTCAATGGAGAAAACTGAAAATGCCTCTAGATCCGTGTGTACGCATAGGAATAGTCCAAATGTTTCAAAATCACAATGATTTGGACCACCCGTGACGACCAAGATGTTTTTTTTTTTTTGCTGATAGCCTCTAGAAAGGCCATCCGAGGTCATTTGAGGCTACAAACAGATTTTTGCCAATAACTCTCGATTGGAAATAGATAGAACGCTGGGGGTGGATTCATTGTGTTTGTCTTGTCGAGACACATCGAATAATATGCAGTATGACCTATTTGGGTCACCACGTGACCTTAACCTGAGCTCAAAGTTTGCCGTTGACCTTTCCAGATACAAAAATATATTTTTCGAAGCGGCTGAAAGAGAGAAACACGATTGTGCCATTGCCTATGTTTCATCTTTTCTGGTTCAATAGTTATTTGTCCAAAACAGCTATTTTCACAATGTTTGACCTATGGAGGCTTAACCGTTGACCTGGGGTCAATTTTGTTGATGACCTTATCAAAAGAAGAATTCAAAAGCTATCGATTGCTTTTCCATGCATTTTTTCAAGCTATCGTAGTTCCTGAGATTACGGCATGTTTTCTGAAAAATGTAATGACATTTGGCAAATGTTGACCTTTGATGACCTCTGGTGACCCCAATAGGTATTGCTCTAAGATGAAAAATGACTGAAATACTTTCAAACGTAAGCATTGGGAGCTATCGACTGATTTTACCACGTCCTTCTAGCCCTCTAGTTTTTTAATTAGAGGTGGGTGGTAACATATGCCCCCCCTCTATGGCGAAGTTGGCTGAGACCGCCACTGGGGCGCGGGATTAAAAATTGTTTACATTGTGTTACCTATAGGGAGGGAGCGGAACGGACCTCCTCGGTTTTTCACAAGCAAGTTGCGTAAATAGCAACAGAGAGGGACTCAGCCGATCCGTTTGGGGAAGGCACAAGTTTCCGACCGATTCGGCGACCCCGACCCACCGCCGCACCGGTGACCAAGCGACTTGACAATGCCAACTACACCAGCCCAGCATGCATTCAGTTCGGAGAGTCCCATTTATCAGCATACCGTCCCAAATCGTCAGTATCGAACAGTCAACTCCTTCCTGTAGAATGACCTTCCCGGAAAGTCCTGCTTTTCGTCCAGATAAGTAAGTCGACGCCTTATTATATTTTCTCATCTTTGAGAGGGTCAAAAAGATAGCCTTGCCCACACGTTATGGCTTTGGGGAGGGCAAATGTCCATTTTGGCCCTCCCCGGATTCGCCCACTGGTAATGAAGCAACAGATTATTATGAAGCTTTCGGTAAATTACTTTGTTTGACCTGACCTTTGTTTGACGTACGACCTCGGCGGTTTACACCTATTTTGGAAAGCCGGCAGGGACGCCCTCTGGTTGACCTGACCCGACCTGACCCGACCTACCCCAAATGTTTGAACACATCATCTTTGGTCAGACTCAGAACTTATGTGAAATTCAAACTCAGGACCCCGAAAACGGCTTTAAAACACACTTCGATCGATAGGTATACACTAATAACACCTCTTTGGGTGAAGACGAGAAATGACGTCACTTTTATCAAGCTCACAGACTTATGAAGTTAGTAAACATGCGATAGTTTCTCTACGCTATTGAATCACGCTGCTGATTCTAGTATGTATCTTCTACGCAACCTTCTAATTTAATTTTTCTTCAAACGTTTTTTTTTTGGGTGGGGGGCAAAATATATGTTCGCCTCCTTTCAGGCTTTGGGGGGGAGGGGGCACGGCCCCGGTACCCCCCCCCCCTGGATCCGCCAGTGATCGCGGTCTCGGATTTCCGACAGGAAGGAGCTCGCGCGCCGACCGACTATTTCGACATCAGGGGAGGGTGCTCATTTCCTCCGGCGCCAAATGAAGCTGCCGGCGCTGGCGCATGTAGGTTAACACGAGCACCGACGGGGGTCTGCGCCGACTTCGTACCGACGGGGGGGGGGGGGGGGCGATGACCCCCCCCCCTGAGATCTCGAGAACGAAGCAAGATAGCGACAAGCGGTAAACGGCATCGGATACGCACGGACAAGGTCTACAATTTTTATAAAGGTCATTTTCAGGTCAGGTCAAAGATGACGTCACAGGGGTCAAAAAAGTTAAAATGGCGGCGTTAGATATGGAGAGTTTTTTTTTTCTCGAATAACTTTCGAACTAGGCAAGATAAGAACAAACTAAGAGCAGCATCGTGATCCTCTCGTCAATCCGCATCGAATGATATATATGTTGACCTCGAAAGGTCAAGGTCAAAGGTTGACCTCAGGTCACGTGACCTTGAGGTCAGCATGTATATCATTCGATGCGCCTTGACGAGCTGAACACAATGAGACCGGCTCTATTTTGTTCCTGTACGGAGTTATTGGCAAAAAAACCTTTGATGACCTTTGATGACGTCACATGACCTTACAGCTGCCCAACAGCAAAACAGACCTCAAGGTAGTGAAGGTTGATCGTATATGAAGTCATGTATGGTTTATGGGGCCATTTTGACCCGTTTTAGTGGTAAAAACAGGGAGTTGATTTTTCCTCCATTGACTTAGGTATAATGGGGAGGTCGAGAAATTGACCTGACCTTAGGTCATCGATATCAAAATTCCGAGATCAACAAAGTGTAGCTACTAATGACCTTATAACATCCTGCGACTTTCAAAGGCCTCCGACATCTACTGTAGCTCTAGCACGACGATAAAGTTGCAAAAAAGTGACTTGAGGTTGGATCATTCAAAGTGACCTGGTGACCTGACCTGAAGAGTTGGAAGGTTCAAACTTGCACACCATGTGTAAAATTGATGGGAGAATAGTCGTAGCAACTTTCGCGGCGCTACGCGCCGCGGTTTTCCCGCTATTCGCGAAAAACCTCAGGGGGGGGGGCGGATATCCGCCCCCCCGTCGGTGCGCGTGTTAACAATAATATTTTGTAGTAACTGTTGGATGCCGGCTAAAAACAGTACACGGTTTGATATAGAATCAGTCCAATGACGCTCCATTCTTGCCGTCCTGAAATCGCCACTATTCCGCCCTATCCAACGCAACTGGCTGCCCAGACGTAAATATGCTGTAGATTGTTGGTTATTCCTTATACCTGTGTGTGGCGTCTCGTTCTTCATTTTGTATGTGTATGTACATATAATATCATTTCTCAAGAACATGGTTATTTACTATTGGGTATGTAATATCGAGGTCGAATTCCACGGTATATAATTCCATTGTCTCGCCGTTCAACTGGGATAAGCTCAATTCAGCGAGACATTGAAGAAGTGGTCAAGTGGTCGGAGAAGTGGCAACTACCTTTCAACGAATCAAAGTGCAAGGTCCTTCATCTCGGCCCTAGGAACCCTGGGCGCTCATACACCATGAATGGTTTTCAGTTGACGACGGTTGCAGCAGAGAAGGACCTGGGGGTTCAGCTGCTGGATTCTACCTGAAGCTCTGTAAGCAGGCCGTGTCTGCAGCTGCAAAGGGTAACCAAATGCATGTCCGTCAAGAGTAAGACAGCCCATATCATCAGCCCAGATTCAGCCCGACTTCAATGGTGGTGTGTAGTGGGAATGGCCTGGTCCTAATTTTTCTCGCTCGTAGCGCTATTGGTTTGGTCTGCAAAAGGGGTGCCCGTCTTACCTACCCTGACCGTCTTACCCTACCCCACTTTCCCCTATTGGTAAGGTGGTCATGTATAATGTATATGTGCCTGTAGGTGGATGAAATTCTAGGGGAGTGGGGAAATATGGTAGCATTATTCAAACCAAATTAAATATGGCAGTAAAATACGCGTTGCATATATTGCGCAGCTGTTTCAGTTGCGAATAATTTGGGTGTGTCGCCAAAATTGAATTTTTGTGGTGGTTGGACTGTTTTTGTGAATAATTTGTTTGATTCCTGCACCTTATTCATCTTTGGTGCAATTATCCAGAGGAGAACTCACATTGTGTTGCAAGGCCGACTTTGAAGTTATCTTGTGCACCTTTTAAATCCAATTACCATGCCTCCACTGCTTCTGCGAGTTATCAGTGCAACACTGCTTTTGATAATCATCTTGCAGCTGATTTATCCTAATTTTGGTAAGAATTGACTCTTAGGTACCTATGTCAAAAGCAGTGGCAGGAAAATGTGTTGATGGAATGAAATCTTAGTTTTTAATTGCATTATTTTGTAAAGTAAGGTTTGGTTCTTTTGGTACCATTTTTTGCTTTGTTATTAATTGAAACTAGTATCTTTTGATTTTCAACTAAAACATTGTTAATTTATCTTGTGTGATAAACCTTTGCCCAATTTAGTTGACAATGCAGTCAAACCCATAAAAACTGCTCCTGTCTATGTGGCATTATCACTGATTGCTTGCTCTCTTGCAGTTGCTGGCATCCAGTGCTGGAAGTGCAACTCGCGGGAGGACCCAAGCTGCGGCGACCCATTTGAGAACAACACCTACTACAAGGTGGAGTGCGACAAGGCTGACGAGAGGCGCCACCTGCCTGGGGTAAAGGCGACAATGTGCCGCAAAATCAGACAGAAAGGTGTGTTTTTCTCTTTTAATAAGTTTGGTAGGGGCCATAGCAGTACTCTAGGTGAACAGGTTTGACAATTTGGATAGTGTGATCAGTGATGACTGGTTTATACTTGGTAGGTTGATGTGGGCTTACCCTTCTGCTGGCCCTTTTATGGTATTACTTTTTTTCTTGCATTTTATTACATGGATTCAGGTCTAGTTATGAGTGACAGTGAGTGGGAACCTGAAAGGATATACTTTATTTATGGATTCAGGGGGTGAATTGTGCATGTCTTTCAGTTGCTGTTTGGCCACGCTTTCTCTCGCCATAACCAGTCAGCTTCAGTATTTGTGTGCATAATGCTGTTCTATGCTCATTCAATGTGGCTCACTCATCCATGTCCAAAAACTGAAACCTGTTCCTCCATTTAAGACCAGTCTATCTCCATCCAGTCCTCTTCCTCTAACACAATGCATGCGTGTTATATAACCTGTCCTTGCTTGAAAGTTCAGATATCCTTGTCTCTCTTACCATGATGTACCATACAACCCACTCCTCTTCCAGACACCCTTTCTATCTAACACCGCCCCTCATTCCTCTCTTACACTCCGCCCCTACCCTCGTCTCTTGCATCCCTCTGTTCACTTCACTCTAACACCACTCTCCAACCTTCCACAGTGAACGGCCAATGGCGGGTTATCCGTGATTGTGCCCGCGTCGGCGAGCCAGGGATCGGTGGAGACGAGCGGTTCTGTCTGCACAAGTGGGGCACCTTCGATATCTACACTGAGGTGTGTACCTGCGCCGCCAAAGATGGCTGTAACGGCGCCGGAAAGCCAGCCAGTCCTCTGGCGGCCTCGGCAGCAGCGTTGGTAGTGCTGCTGACTGCTTTTGGAGCCGCTCGATAGGTGGCAGGGCGAGCGGTGGGGTTTGGCGTATAGATGGCGCGGCGCTCGGAGATGGAGAAAGTATCTCGAGGCTCGTGGGGTTATGCACGGGGCGACCCCCGTCGAGAAGATCATTGAAGAACGTAGTAGGTACGTTTTCTATGAGAATCTCACGAAGAAGGTAATTCGTTGATCAGCCGTATACTGACTGTGCTGTGCTGTCTTCCGTCCGAAGGTCGATGGATTTGAATGATGAAACCTTTTTAACGTCTTTTCTCTAGATTTGTGATGATGCCGTGTGTGCTATTCCGTCCATTTTACCAGAATCTTCAATCGTGTGTAAGGCGTAGATCATTTTTGCTTGCAAGTAGCGATAGCGTAGTGCTGATGCTACGTTTATTTGCCCATTCATGTTCGAGGCATCAACGCTAGTGTACGACGTAAGACAATTTTAGATTGTCGCGTATTACATTTTGGTTCACCATACATAATCATGATTGTATGAGCTGTCACATGCGTAGGATAATGACTAGTTTGGCGACGACCCATCTCATTAACACTTGTCATTTTACATACAACGACGGATATCTCTTTCAACGACGCATATCTCTTTCAACGGTCATATTCGTTCAGCTCAATTTATTTTCCTCAACGAACGTCTCTGTACCAAACATTCGCTAGATTCGTTGGACTTGTTGGATTCGCTGATCCGATGTTGAACTGCTTATCGTTGTTCTTTGAACGCGTAGACGTGAGCAACTGTCATGAAATGTTGCTATTATTCTTCTTCTGGATTTAGTGCAGAGTACCTACAACTGATAAAAGATGCTCTTGGAGTGTCTCTGAAAAAGTTGGTTAGTTATATAGCTATGCTCGTAGTTGTAGAATCTCCACTTCACATTAACTTGCACCTAAAAGAGCTGTAGAATGGCTTCCGTTACGTTTTTTTGCGATGTTTTTGTTAAAACAACGTACTGCTATACGCCGTAACACCGCTACGTGGTCATATATAACCACATCGAGTCGTTCTGTATTTCGTTCACATTCTTTGTTTCTCATTTGCACTAATTACTAATCCGCGATGTTTAGATGTAGAAGCTAAGGGTTGTGTCTGATGCCGTTCACGCTACCAGAGGCATTCCACGTGATCGTTCGTCATATGGCCACCGCTTATACGAGTTGTAATGATGTTCCAGTAGGGAAGATGTGCGAGTATTTTCACAAATATACCTACATTTCATCCGTATCATAAGTTTTCATTTGGTTCTGAGGAATTAAGAATTTATCTTATATTTTTTCAATCTCATGCTTAATTGCAATTATTTTGGGCCATCAGAAGTGCACCGACCGACTGTATCTATCCACTTGTTCGCGAATGCTTCAAGAACGTAATGGCTTCGCTAAATTAACTAGCCTTTCAGCTGGAAGAGCATCAGGCGACCTCAAAGTACACGCCTATGTCAGTCTGCGGTAAAAGTTGATCATCTGGCTAAACGAGCAAATATTCACGAAGCCTAGGTAGGGGAGAACGGGGCGATTTGGCCGCCTTTTTGTAAAAACGATATTTTGAGAAAACCAGTGCGCGTTTGGTCGATTTCTCCATGGAGGGGTGTGGGGCGTTCAATTGCTGTTCCGGCCTATTACTTGCATCATGCCGGGACATCTCATTTCGGTGGTAATTAACCGTTCTTTCAAAGACTGCGCGGCGGCCAAATGACCCCGGTACCGGGGTCATTTGGCCGGGGGAGTGGGGTCATTTGGCCGGGCATGTGATCCAGAGATATACCTATTACAGAGCTGAGACAACCTGAAATATTGACGCCCAAGATTGTGCTTAACTCATGAATTCTGGATTGACTCGACGCGTGACTGATGTGACGATTCAGATGCCCAATGCTGACACAAATGATGAGCATCGTGACTCATCGTTGATTCGCCTGAAATCCTTAATTTTTCAAAGGACTAGGCTTACACTCGATTCATTTGAATCAGTGCAAGTGAGGAGCCACATTTGATTTACGAGCTTACGACTCATGAGTTGAGCACTGCCCAGTGATAACAACAGCCAACTGTAATGGCTGCCAAATCGTAGATTGCTTTAGACCATCGCACTGCAAAAAATGTCCTTTGTGCACGAGTTGTTTGTTTATTTCAAACTCTGTTGTAAACACGAAATAAAAACGCTTTCAGCAGGCCCCGTCTTCGACCCAGCACTTCAGATCACATCCACTGTAAAATACGGTCCCGACGACATGGACACATGTCCAGTCATCACTGCGCTTCACTGTTTTTCACCTTTGCGCCCCTGTTTCTTCGACGGTCCAGCTCCCGACGTTCGATGGTTCGATGGTCCAGCTTGTGGACCCCGCTGTTTGCTCCTCGCCATACGTGCCTGTTGCTCGTCCTCCAAAGCCGGAGCACGGCCGCGGCAGGCAGCTGGAGCACGGCCGGCCCCGAGGCTGGCGGCTGGAGCACAGCCGCGGCAGGCGGCTGGAGCACGGCCGAGGCCGCGGCGTGCTGATCTGCCGTCGCTGGGGCGACAACCGGTGCGAAGACCGCCGTCGGCGTAGTCTTCGTCGTCGAAGATAACCCGGTATAGCGGGGATATCCCGGTCGCTTCGAATCTCTTAACCCGGCCGGGCCCGGGGGGTAATCCCAACCACCGCAGCCCGGGGGGGGGGGGGCGTTTTTCGCCCCCCTGTCTAACTCCGTAAATAAGGGAGCTACGGAAACAAAAGCGATACCAAACGAAAGGTCCTTACCAGACGGTTCTAAAGCACCTAAAATTTTTGACCTCAGGTCAATTTTCAAGGTCAGAGGTCAAGGTCAAAGGCAAAAACCGGCACATGTGTAGTGATCTCAAAGTAAGCCTTCTAGAGGATGGCAGGATGCATCAAACTGGCAAAATTGGGTGTCAAACGAAAGAAGAGAATCTGAGGATTCCGAATATGTGCTCAAAATCAAAGGTCAAGGTCAAGGTCACGCTCAAAATTGACCTCAAACTTTGCACTTTTTCGTACATCTTGCTTGCTAACTTCCAAGACGTTTTGAAATGTTTGGAGGCTTATCAGTTCCCTATTTGTGGTTCATCTTACGATACAAGGCTGCCCAAAGGTCAAGGTCACAGAAGAGTATCCTTGCTAGAGGCTATTTCACTAACTCAAGTTATAATAATAAATAAGACAATTTTGCCATCCGGAAGCTCTAAATGAAGGCTTAGAGGAAAATGGATGCCAGATTCGTGATCAGCGAGTACAAATCCATCATAAACGACCTTTCATGTGTCAAGGTCAACCAAAGGTCATTTGAGGTCACATGAGGTCAACATAAAATTTGACCTTTTCCAAACAAAATATATATCATTCGACGCGGCTTGACACGGCGAATGCGATGGTACCACTGCCGTAGCTCTAGGACCATTTTTGTCGAAGTTATTTGCGAAAAACTAAAACCACATTTCGGGGTCGTTGACCTGACCTCTGACCTCAGGTCACCAAAACTATTTTTCTATTTTTCTCTAGGTCAAACGCTACACAACCGTGCTCGTAATTTGTCTTTATCTCTAAAACTCTATTTTTAGCAGCTATTTGAAGTTCGCGTCTGTGACGCCGAAGTTTGCCTTGCAGGGGTCTAGAAAAATCGACCTTGTGACGTCATCAAGGGGGCTAGGTCAAAAATTTTTACTTCAGAAGATGTCAAATTGATGGGAGAAAAGGTACTGAAAGTTTCGCTTTCCTATCCCTAAGCGTTCGGGAGCTATCGCAAATATTCGCCAGGGGGGGGGGGGGCGAAAAACGCCCCCCCCGGGCCCGCGAGGGTTAACCCGCGGATGTTCTTCCGCGTGAAGGTGGCGTCTTAGGCACGACGAAAAATCGGCGCCACCGGTAGAGGTCGATGTGACGTCCCGGGTTCGCCATCTGCCGCCGGGTGCCGAAAGTCAATCAGCGGACACCTTGGTTAGGCCGTCCCTTGCATTTAGACTGCGCCGCATTACCATCCTCAGCGGCAGAACTTAGCCAGCGCAGCGCGTCGCTCGCAGACTAGGCAAAAAATCAACTGAGTCGCTGGGCGGCCAATTCGCCCCGTATGGGGCGGCCAATTTACCCCAATATGACATTTTTAGGAAAAGGGGTCCGCAGATAAGCAAAAATTGTTACTTAAACTTGCAAAAGGGTCAGACAGCTCCCTGAATCACCAGATTGTTCTACCAATAGAGTTAAAATTTTGATGTCACCCAAATAAGGGACACCATGCAACTTTTCGTAAAGAAGAAAAAGTTACGTTTTTTAGCCAAAATTCAAATATCGTTGGCTTTACAAAAAAACTGGGCGTCGTCGAGTTTCCTTAGTTTCTTTCCAAAGTAGTTCTTATGACGGCGGATGGTGCCATATTCAAAAATAATCGCTCGGGACCGTCAAAACGCGTAGACATGGGGCGGCCAAAGTGACCCGGGCGGCCAAATGACCCCGCTCTCCCCTACTCACTATTCAGATTCAGCCCGTCTAAGTTTCGTGGAGTCGCGATTCAAAACTGGGATCATTCTTCATTTCAAGACCGCGCAGAATTGCATAGGGCAGTGTCGCCCCGAGAAAGGGGCTATCCTGATCCAGAGGCGGATCCAGCTCAGAGTTTTTTTTTGGGGGGGGGGGCAAACCATAACAATTTATCGATTCTTTCCATGCATCGTCCATAGGCGTAATGTTAAAATTATGCCATGGGGGGGGGGGGGGCAAATGCCCATTTTGCCCCCCCCCCCCCTGGATCCGCCACTGTCCTGATCTTCCTTTAACCGGCGATTTTTTAGCTGGTAGAATTAAGAAGAAAATCGATGCCCCGATGCCCTTTTTTGTTCTTCAGGAAGCAGTCTTCCCACCCTTTTCACGCCCGGCCCACCCCAGTCCCTGATGACCCCTCTCGCCCACTTCTTCCCTCCCCTCCGCCCCTCCTCCACCCACCGAGGCCGGCAACCCAACACCTTGAATCACCGGTTTATTTATAGTTCCTGGGATAGCCAGCTGACGGCGGCCGGCCGGCGTTCTGCTTTGGCCGGCGTGTTTCTGCGGTGAGTGCACGGCGCGGCGGACGGCGCGGCGAGCGCGACGAGCGGCGGCGAAAATGGCGCAGACCGAGCAGCTCCAAATATCCAGAGCGGCGCCCAATCAACCATGGGGCTTTCGGCTGCAGGGCGGAAAGGATTTCAACATGCCCATCATCATCCAAAAGGTAAGCGGAAGAGCGCGGGTTCAAGTCTTACCGCGGGCCCTGCGAGATATTTTTGATGTTTTACGCTTGCTTTAGGGGCTAAGTGCAGCGCGCGGCAATGAACCTAACACCTTGTGAACCTTCTATGTCATCAAATATGACAGCAGCGTGGGGCTCAAAACGCCCAACCCTGACGTTTTTATGGCGGTGTTATATTACCTACATCATTTCATCAACCATAGAACACCTGAAAGGGGGAACGGGAGGGTTTCCTGGACCGCTAAAATCATAAATTTCCTGGATCATCGGCTACACAATATCACCATAGGTTAGTTACTCCAGTGGTTTCTGCTGACTGGAGGCAATATTTGAACTTCATTTGAACCCAGGAATGTCCTGATGATATCATCTGCAGCATCATAACCTTCCCGGCCAGTAAACAGCTGACATAGGCCAGACATCTCATGGCTGACTTTCTTCACCACTGACTTCTCTATATAGAGAAGTATGTGTTTCATCCGACACGTAATGGGCGCAAAATGACCTTAGTAATCGGCGCGCCGTAAAACCCCCAATACGAGTAAACAACAATCCGGCACGTAGGTAATCGGTAGCACGTAAGGAACTGTCAGAAAACATCCGACCTCGGATCAGGACATAAACGTTCGGACCGTACTTATCAAACTACTCACAACTGGCAAGCGCGTTTACCGAGCATGATGCATGGTATATCATACACCCGTAACCCATCAACTCCATATCAACGCTTTAGAAGATCGGCATCTACCCAATAGTAAATCATCATGGAAGGCATGATCACTCAACATTCGACATCGCTGCGCTTCTATTTTTTTTCACTCTGTCGGTTTATGGGTACAAAAATGCACCATATTGATAGACTAACGGTCCAGTTACGCCTCATAGGAAACCGAAGTCGCCTATTGCGAGTCATTCCCCTCCCATTGATCGTGGCAAAAGTGCGATTTATATTTAGGTATCTCTAAAATTTATTCGACACCCATTATCCAGAACGAAGTCACAGAACACTGCGTAGAGATATGTTTATAGCACGCACCGCCCGATCATTATATGTTCTACGACTCTCATACCTGAATAAAGATAGTAGGATTGTAAGGAGTATGAAAATCTGCATAAGAGCAAATTAACGTAGGGAAAGCTTAGAGCGTGTTTTTCATGAATAATGATTCGTCATGTGAAATTGGTAATTCGGTAAATAAAATTGGTAAATATGGTAAACTGCCCTACGTGACCGCACACGACTACACAGCACGCATCACACGTTCCATGTGCTATATGCAGCAGCACATGCGATCACAACCCGGAGCACATGGTACCCGCCCGGTGTTTGCCATGCTGTGTGGGCATTATCTAATCGGCGGTCTGACTCGGGCGATCGTTACTGCCCTGATGTTTGATATGACCCCGGCGGGCGTCTGGCCGAATGGTGGCGTAGGGAAACATGCCGCTCTGCTATACCGTATTAAGTTTTAGGCTAGGTTGGGGTGGTGTAGGTATAACATGATTCGTGACCCGTTATTTGGCACGGTAATCTGCCTGTCGTTATATTTTTTAGACTAAATAAGAGACAATTTATAGGACGTCTTATGAACCAAGGGCTTCTGGATGTTACATTGCGATTTGCGAACAATGAATCATAACGAATTAATCATATTTATAGAACTTACTCTGACCTTTACTTCCATCTGCTAGTCCTCTCTCTCTCTCTCTCTCTCTCTCTCTCTCTCTCTCTCTCTCTCTCTCTCTCTCTCTCTCTCTCTCTCTCTCTCTCTCTCTCTCTCTCTCTCTCTCTCTCTCTCTCTATCAGACTCTCTCTCTCTCTCTCTCTCTCTCTCTCTCTCTCTCTCTCTCTCTCTCTCTCTCTCTCTCTCTCTCTCTCTTAACCCAGCGTGTGTCCCCATATCGTCTCCTCTATCTAACGCACCCTATCCCAGCCATCCCTAGGAGCCCCACTTTCTCCCCAATGGACCACGACCGGCAATAATTATAATTGGCTTAATCCCAGCATCCACCCATCCTTGTTCGTCTCCGGTAGCCGACAGTTTATCCCCACTGCAGTAGACCGCGGCCGCGATAGTTGGCTGAATCCCGGACCGACGCCAGGTGCGTCCACCGGTGACATTTGACCCAGATACGTGGATGAATCGCCCCCGGCTATCGTTCTAGACTGACCGATGACAGGCGGAACGTTCTTGTCCAATCCGTTGAAAGCGCGTCTCGATTTGGCTTTGATTGAATACAGGCCCTGAACAATGTCGTGTGACGTGTATTCGACCGATTTCGTGCTTCCTTTTCATGCAGTTTTTACCTAAAATTGTATCACACATGATATCTGCTGTCATCTGCCTGCCGGGTTTGGGGGTTGGTTTGGGTTTAAGGACGCAAACCAACCCTTAAACCCGATGCCGGGATCATGGGAGGGACGAAAAGGCAAGAAGGCGATAAGCCAGTTTTACTCGCCATCGAAGACGACGAGCGCTGAGACACCTGCCCACACTTAACGAAAAATGATTTTACCCGTTATGACCATTCCGCTCCACATCCGTTGTCATCGCTGTCAGACGCAACACATCTAAGACCGATTGCCGACGCTACCCATTCCACAAACTGTCAGACAGCACCCCTCTCAAACGTCCCCCCTGCTCACCCCTTTCAACACAAATAATGCCTCTAATACCTTCTGAGAAGACATTCTGAGGTGTCCCCTCCCAGACTGACATCTCAGAACGTCTTCTCAGTAACCGTGTCCAGTCAGCTACTCGTAAACGTCGGTCACTATCTCTCTGACAACGCCACTCTCAGACACTGTCCTCCTGTCTTAGACAACACACGTACCCCTCCCAATCACGTTGCCCTCTCAGACAATGCATGTTCCCCTCTCAGAGAATATTTGACCCCATCACAGACAATATTTGTTTTTCTTTCAGACAATTCTCGCACCCTCTCATACAAACTTTCTTTCACCCACCACCCTCTCCTAAACTCCCAACCACCACCCCCTTCAGACACCACCCTCGGCCTCCCTCCCTGGAGCAGCCACCGCCCCCTCAGACTCCTGCCGCCGCCGCGCCCACTCGCGTGCCCCGAGGCTAGCTTAGGTCGTGGCCCTGGCAGGCGGGGGTCAGGCGCCAGCTGGCGGCGAGCCAAGTCGAGAGTCGGGGCGCCGAGCCAGCCACTGTCCAGTGTCGAGCCCCGGTCAGGCTGCTGTAGAGGACAACTTCAGGGTGTCAGCGGGTCAGATTGCATGGGATGTTTAAATCAGGATTGGTGGGATTTATGTGATGTGTTAATTTCATCATCTTGACCATTAATTAGGCAAGATTAAAACAAGTTTAACGAATTGTTGGTGTTGTTTAGGTTTGTTTTGAAATGATGTTTTAGTTCTAAGTTGGATAGGATTGAAACGGGTTAGAATTTCAGCCAAAAGTTCAAAGTTGGGGACTCGAACTTCATGGGGCGTATCAGATAACAATCCATGTTTACTGCTGAATATGACAAGATAGCTGTTTCGGTAGTAAGTTGTATGACAGTATGTGAGCTAACGTATATGAATTATGTGCCGCCAACGTTATAGTTTTCACAAAGTCACACGAGCGTTTCAATGCACCAAAAATGATGTAGATTGAGCCATGTGGGTCATAAAACCATTTTTAGGACGAGTTTGACAGAGTGCATGACTAGGAATAGGTATAATTTTCCAATCCAACTGTCGTATTTCACCAATAATACGGATCAGTTCTCAATCATACCTACATCAACACATCAATGCTAAGTCTAGTGGTGATGTTGACGGTTCGAACTAGTTAGAAACAGCCCATCCTGACTTTGTTGATTGCTAACTTTAAGGTAATTGGCAGTAATAAGGCAGCCATGCGGAATGTTAGACGTTTTTATTTCGGTCATTTATATACGATGCGTCGGATATCGGCAGTTTAGCTCATTTTATTTTCTGTGGTGTCGGACAATCAGATGAACCTGCCAAAGCCCAAAGGTGAACAAGAGCAAGGGTTCGCGGGGGCGAGCGTATTGTATGTTAAATACTTATCAGAAATGAGACTAAACATTTTGGCCTGAAGTCTAACAGGGCCCCGCAAGTAAAGCACACGTTTTCGTGTTCTCGTTTTCCATCCCCACCTCAACACATCTGTCCCCACCCCAACCCTCTCGCTAGCCGGAGGTGGTTACGAAACTGGCGCGTTTTTCGTCGCGGCGCGCCTGCGCCACATTGACGCCACATCTGCGCCACATTGACTGACAGAGGCGCCTCTGTACCGGCCGCATTACTTCACACTAACAACGCTGTTCATCGCTGCATACCCTGCGGCTAGCAACAGGAGGGGAGATCTCATAAACAAACACCACGACGGATCAGCGGTATCGGGGATGAGCTGGCGTAGATAAGATAGAAGACTGTCGTAGTATTTTCCATACATACGTTTGCACTTATTGCTATGCTATAAATCAAGAATCATGATTGCCTCATGCTTTGGGGAAATTTGACCGCGAATGCGGTCGTAAGATGCAAGAATTGACGGTTGAATAACTTTGGAATATTGTATGACATCCTGAATGTGTTACGTACAAGAATACTACATTTCCATATTTCAAATTGATGTTTGTATTGCGCTGAATTACTAGGTAGTGGTCCAGGGCAATGTTGACCCTCCCCATTAGGTGTTGATGTAAAACAGCGCTGAAAATGAAAGAAAATGCACGGTTTCGGTCAGCTCCTCACGGGCCGTTTTCACGACGGAATAGCAGGCATCTATTTAGTCCCCATTTAATCCTTTAGTTCCTCAGGAATTTTAGTAGTTCTTTTTAGTAGGTTCCCCAGCTTTCGAATGAATGGTGCGTTAGTTTGCTATTTTTCTATTAAATATCACATCGATTTACTTTATCTAAGGATTTATCACTAATATCAACATAAAGCGTAAGCACAATTATAAAATTATGAAATTATTAAATACTAGTACAATAGTTAA